ATACGTTGGGTCAGGAAAACGATACTGAATCAAATCGCCATGCCAGTGGGGTGTGGGGGCATGGGCTCAGAGACTGCATGAATGATTGAAGACTAAATTTGACGGCCAGAAGATGGCAGACGTGCATCTTTATCTGGTGTGAATGAAGGTCGTGTTCGGTGAGGAAAAGCACTATTTTTAACTCGCATTCATGGTCAGTTATTGACGCTGGTAAATCCGCTGCTGCCGTAGCTCCCGTTAAATGCGTAGTGTGCGCGGCCGCATGAACAGCACCCGCCCTGTTCTTCTTCTGATTGGCTAATGCTGTTAGTTTGAGAGCGCTCCTTTGTTACCATTGGCTGACAAACGCAAGACATATTTCAATTGTCTTTTGAAAATTTATTTACCGTTAATTTCTTTCCGAGTGATTTTTTTTTCGCTACGAGCTGGAAATCCGGCCTGGGTCCGGAATACTTTAATCCCCGAGTTAGACACTGTCGTCGGACAACATAATTTATAAATGTTTTAAATCAGGTTGGGTCCAGATTAGCCAGCAGGTGGGTCCGGATCCGGATCCGGATCGCAGTCCGCCAATCCGTGACCTCTGGTCTAGTGGATGAAAAAGTTTTGGACTCGAAATTTCCCACAATGTACCTTGATAGGTAGTGATCCACGGTCACTAGATGAGCAGATATATCCCAGAATGCTTTGCGAGGAGAGCTCTCCTTTGGATTTGTCACAGCGGGCCGATGTCGCCATAGGCTGTTGCAACCCGACAGACATGACTAAAAACAAAGATGGCGCACGCACCGCGCGGTGGAGAGGAGTTACGTTACCAACAGAGCAAAAAGCAGTGATCATCTGTCTGAACGGTCAGTTAACTGAGTTCACTATAAAGTTCACTATATAGTCCCCGCTCTATATAGTGATGGAGAGATTTAGGGGTTAGGGAGGACATTCAGCAACGGCCATGGTTTTAAAAAAACAGAAGAAAAAGAAGAAGACTACGGCATTATGGCTACAATCGATTCAACGTCTTCCCAGTGGCTATAATCCCACTATTTTGAATGTGTCACCAAAATGGAGAAGAATATCCCAGTAAGATGCACTTTGTGTCCTAGTGGGCAGGCATGAGAACTGTCTATGGCTAAAAATAGCACCAGTAGAAACACCTGGCGNTTAGAGAACAAACAGCATGAAGACCAAGGAACCCAGCAGACAGGTGAGGGAGAAGTATGTGGAGAAGATTAAAACCGTGTTTGATCCTGAAACATTATTCTATCCAACGGATGATTGTTAAATTATTATCTAAAATAAAAATGAAACGATAACTGCAAACATGAGAAGACGGACCATTAAACATCTAAAACAGGAGCTGTGGTCTGATGACACCAGAGCTGGGCTGCACTATGTGCACAGCTCCCTGAACACAGTCTCCCCACTATGAAACACGGGGGTGGCCGCATCAACCCGAAAAACCCGCTTGGGCCGCAGCTTCACCTTCCAGCAGGACCCAAAACAACCAATCAGTGGTTTAGAGAAGGGGGCGTGGCCTCTCGGCTGCTTTAGTGCAGCCATATTTGCTCCTACAGCGTATTGGTTGATACAGAGAGAGCAAAGAGCGAAGCTTAACAGAAAGAATGACTTAACTCCAGCACCAGAAAAAGCTTTGACCACCCCCCAGCATGATGCAGCCTCTACCTGTGATGGGCGCCTCCACCTCCAGCATGCACTTCTCCTGGCGGAGGATGTTGGCCCCGTCGTTGATGATCTTCAGAGCGGCGTCCTCCTCCACCCTGCCCTCTTTGACCAGGTGGGTGCGGAGCAGCTCAGCGTTGGGCTTCCCGTCTTCAAATAGCTCTTTCATCGTTAGCTTGTGCTGCGGGGGGTACGGCACAGCTGTTGGGGGGAGAAAAAGGATTTTATTATTTCAGGTCGTAATAAAGCTGCAGAAGTTTTCAGTGAACATTAAAGCGGTGGATGTTAGTAAAGTTAGAGCCGGTGTTCTGTCAGCTCAGCATAACCCATCAGTCCAGCATACCCATATTACTGTCTCTGCTCTCCTTCCAGCCCATCATGCTGTTTTATTTCCTGATTCGTTCAGTTTTTTGTTGTAGTTTTGTGCGTAAAACAACAAAACAAAACACTAGGTCCACTACACACATTAGCTTTTAAAACAAAACATTGCATGTCCATTTGACAAGCATCCTATTAAAGAATGATCGACATTTTAACAAGAATGTCTCGAGGATTTTAACTTATGTAATTTCTAACATTTTCATTTTTATATGTGAAGCAATGCACTCCCTGGAAAACCTGATATAAGAAAAGAAAATACCAAGCAAAACTGTACAGAAATTTGATCATAGATTGAACTATTCCTATAATCCCAAGACTGAACAAAATTATTATTACTTTTTTAAGACCAACTACAACCTTGCTAGAAGTAGGCATCTAGTTCACATTTGATTAACTTTAATTATATCAATTCTATTCAGTTTATTTCTATAGCTCCAATTCACATCATGTCATCTCAGGTCACTTTCCAGTTCACCAGATCATCCAGTCAGATTGATTCAAAGTTTTCTATCTAAGGAAAACCAGCTGATT